TCTAAATTATATTTAAAATATTCCACAGGAAGGGAGTTCAAATTGCCTGAAGCACACTACACCGTTTGTGCAATTTCTGTAAACTATATTTGTTAGTATAGCCACCATTTTATTGGCAGCATAATTACGAGTTCACTGTACATTTGCAGACGGAGCTGCTGCGATCTGTTATTCCATAAGATAAAATCACATTGAAAGTTCTTTGCGAGTTAATTTGTAAACATGTTCATTTGAAAATTATCATCTTTTGGAAGTACGGTTCCCACTTGCCAGGCATTCTTCCCGATAAGCCATAAGGAATAAAGCATGCATATGTAAGCTTTTCTGTAGGTAAGTCGTTTAAGCGGAGGGATTTACATCCAGATAAGTGTGGATGTTTGCCTACAAAACATCTGCCAACTCTGCCACTTAAGCTGCCATTATATATTATATATATATAATATATATAATATTATATATATAATATATATATGAACCTTCTTTCAATGCGAATCTGTCATCACGTATGATCAGCTTAAGTTCAGTCAAATGAAACATAGTATTTCATCGATTGGATGAAAGTTTATTAATATGAGACAAGGAATCCGTTTCAGCGCGGGGACGGATCTTGTTGCGTTGCCAAGCAACTTACCATGCATTAAACAAAAAAAAACAAAAACAAAAAAAACACGTCTTTTAAAGAATAAAAAAACCAATAAAAAGAAAAACAATTTATTAATAAATACAATGAAGTACCGTATGGATCACATTAATCATATGGGAGACCTTTGGTTTCTAGGGCTTCCCTAACATTTGCGATCGCCTATTACTCATTATGCAGTTAGCTAACAACAATTTGGCCCCATCATTATACAAATAGTATACTCAGATTAGTTGATTACTGTACTATCATGAAAAACAACATTGGAGTGTTACACAAATACTTGTTGAGCAGCGCCAAGAACTTGCCCCTCTCCAACCGCCATCCCCACCCGGGAACCTCGGCTCGCCCAAGTGCGCCACTCTGTGCTAAAGATACCCGCGGCCGCCCGAAGTGTGAAGCCGCTGCCGTATTAGCAATTGAGTTTTCTGGAGACACCAGAGGCGAGCCTTAACGCGTGGTGAAGCCGCTTGCTCACTTGCTCTAGCACCTGCCCGCAAGAGCACAAGCGCGTAGTCTCTATATACATTAATCTATTTATAAAAAAACTGAAACGAGGAAGAGTACGCAATTTTGACAATTTATACAGTCTGTACACTTAGTATGGGAAAAAGACCCGGCCCCCGAAAATATAACCCATGATTTCAAATGGCGTTTTATTAGTAATATGTAATGTGTATTTTGGGCCATTCATTTTGAAAATTTTAGACTCGGAGAGTTGTCAGGGGTCAACTGAGTTCACTGCAAATGCCTCTGCTTCCGGATCCTTAAGTTCGATATCGACGGTTGCTAAGTATTTCGACACTAGCGACAAAGCTAGTTCGAGTTTCTGTCGTTGCCCTGAAAATTCTAGCGGTTGCTGCGCTCTGATCGGCTAGCTTTCCGTGTTCCTCCGATCATCACCCAGGCGAAAGTCGGAACCAATATTCCTAACAAAACTGTCCACCAGACCGGGGTGCGATATTTCCATTTCCACTCCCTCGTTCCTATCCTATGACCTCACTTGCACACACACTGACTTGCCACTACACTACCACACATCACTGAGAGACTGATCGGAGTTAGATTCATGACCCTACTGGGGCGTGTCCACTGCGTGGGAGATACCTGGCTTAAGGAAAAATCCGCTAAAGCTAAAGTAGCCGTCGGCGGCCGGATCTCGCCATCCAATGGGGATTTAATCACCGCCACCTCTGCGGCAAAAGAAACATGCACTGCACTTACGGTACATATGACCGTTAGTATTTGACGAGCCTGAAACCACTAATCAATAAATCAATCTGAAAAATTCGGGACAATCAGCTAGTGACATCCACGCGTATGTTTAGTAAATAATGGAGTTGCATATTGCCGTTGAACTTTCTAGCAGTAGTTGGTTTTCTGAAATCTCTTTGCGTGTCGGCTAGCTTTTTCAGTATGTCCCCTCTTCCTGGTTGCCTACCTAATCGGCCGCCTAAAAGAACACTTTTCGACAGTTCTCCAATTTTGTCTGGTTACTGATAGTAGAATACTGAAATATGACTTCACGACATTGTAGCAAACAGGACACCACAATCATAATATTTGCTGTTTTTTTCGTCAAAACCGAAAGTGTATAACTGGATTTTTGAATTTCCCAGAGTTTCCGGGCTACATAACAAAAACCACTGAAGATACATAGTTTCAATCACTTTCTGCGCGATATTCAAAATTAGTTAATATAGATACCACTAGAATTGACAAGTGTATTATTATATCTACGATTCGAATTTTTTCAAGATTATTATTTTGCCTAATTTGCTATGTACTTCTTGTACCTTTATATTTTGCCGTAGGTAAGCCAATGCCCGAAAGGTCATTCATGAATTGTGGGAATAAAAACGTTGATGTACCCAAGGAGAATCAAATTGTCTTTCACTCAACCCAAAGAAAAAGGCGAATTGAAGCCGAATCATTGTGAAGCCGGCCACGCGTATGGCAGTTCCAAGGTGCAATCTGCATGAATAATTGGCTGAATTATCTGCAAACAAACTTTAATTAGTTACTGAAATTATATTTAATTTTCTTAAAGACATAGCTCTTGATTCACCTACGTGTCTAAACCCCAATTCGCTGATACCACTCTTTTTCTTAACTGAATATATATATCTTAGTTAATAGGTTATTTACTTCAATTCTTAGTTATAACTGTATTTGCCTTTTACATTAAAGCCGGTAAAAGTAGGAGCACATTGTACAGTTTATATGTTAATATTAAATTTAAAATGTTGTTTAATAGAGGTAAACCTTTCTCAAAATTGTACGACGGCAATTTAAAGTTAACCGAGTAGTTTACGGTACTTTTTATCACAAACAAGTAGAAGAGAATGACCGCTGCCGCAATTCAAAAATAAAATAGTTTTACTATGAGTTTAATAATGTATTTTGTGGGCTCATTAAACCTTGCACAATACGATAAAGCAGGATGAATCCACAATGAATAGCTTCGCGGAATAGCCAACTTTTCAGTTAGGAATCCCCTAAATATTTTCAATTTTGCATTGTTCACTTGAAAATAAAAAAAATATATGGGTTATATTCATAACAGAATATGTTTTGGGCATGGTATTAAATATGTATTTAGGATTGGAATAAAACTGAATAAAAAATACAAAAAAAAAACGTTGGTTGGGGTATTGCTTCCTCGTACCACCTGTATGCCGGCCATTGACGTAACAGCAAGACAACGTATTCCCGAAAAAACTGGTTATAATGCTTAACATCCTGATTTGGTAACAAAAAAATTACAATGTAATTGAACAAAAAAAATGTATTTTTAGTACATAAATTCTTGCCTTATTTCACAAAAAAACTGCCTCTTTTACACTCTTGAGATTCCTGATTTATTATTAACAAATAAAGATTACTCGGTGCTCAACATTTCCTTATTTGCAAAATTCATGCATACGCCCATTATACTATTTCCTACCTGCTAACAAAAATAACCTGTAACGAAAATGAACTTGTTGATTATACCACGACCTAAAGTAGATGGCTGACAGTTCGTTAGTCATTCGTAGTGACGCTAGAGGTGTAATCCTGAATAACAAGTGAATCAGAATCTTCGGCACTTGCAAATTGGTCACATCAAATTATAAGGAACAAATGAATTCACGCTTTCTGAAATGATATTCACCGGCTGTTTGTGAAATTTGCAACCACCCAGAAGGAAATGCGTCGAATCAGTTAAAAATCGACAGATGTGTAGAACAGTGGGTAATAAGTGCAATAAATTTGTATAGAGATTGACGTGCACGTTGCCCTAGAAGCTTCCTCCTCTGTGTGACAGGTCAGGTCAGTTGTTACGGCCACCACTCAGATTGTAGAGCAGTCAAACCGAAACGTAGAAAAGTACAAGCAAAGTGGCACGATATAGCTCGCTGACGCCTAAAGGCCGTAATAATAGCATCTGAGTGAGTTCGAACGGCAGAAATTATCGCCGTCTCTAGGAAGCCGGTTTGTTCCTTACCGTGACATTACGGCTTGAGGGGCGCGCTTGCTTCGACCAGTGAACTATGAGTCGAACTGGTGGATAAGCGGAAGTCATACACAGTGATGGAGCGAGTACTGGAATGCCACAATGTGACCAAATAACGGGATTCCCTCATCTCCACATGGGCCGTAACCGTAAAGACCGGCGTCATCCACAGTGTTGCGCTCGACATTGAAGCACTGCAACGGGTTGTGCGTGAAATATCTGCGTCGACGGTTCGACGTCATTGAAGCTGCGGGCTCGCACTGGTTGGCACTGGTTGGTCAGAAAGACACCAACGTCTCAGGACATCAATGCGGGCATGGTTTAATTTACCCGCTCAGAAATTTTTCGTGTGGGCTTTAGCACCCAGTATACCGACATCATCCGCCGGGCCTGCGCCATGCGTGTTAGTGGTGGACAAGACGTCCAAACACACATCCACCCCAAATCCGAAGTAGAGTCCACTGTCTTAGCACGTGGCCACCTGGGATTTCCAGTGCTTCTTTACTGGAAGATAGATGCGCCAAAGAAGGCAATGGCGAAATATCGGTGGCGGGGACCGGGATATAGAAGCGCCGAATGAGGTTTAACAGTCAGCGTCGGAATCACCATCGTCGGCCGAAACCTCGCATCCTGCACACAAGCACCGTGCGTCGAAAGGGATGTTTCTTGGCCTGACGCAAACCACGGCAGAAATATACACCTACCGGCAAAGCGCATGTTATTTAGTAGCTCTTAGACAGCGCCCGTACTTTCCCACTCTTTCTACGCCTTTTTTAACGCATAAAACTATACTCTGTGTTTTACTGCTACCTCCAAATAAGACTTCGCCAAAACTTCTTCGAATTTGTGTTCAGGAGATTTCATCTACATTTCTTGCTTACGAGGTAATAATAATCCGCATAAGTCACATTCAAAGCGAATAATGCGTGAAATGAATGCCATTCCAGGATGTGAATAAGTTTGAGGTTCTTCTGAAAGTTGAATCTAAAAAGAAAAGAAAACATTATAGTTTTTTCAAAAAACAATTCGTTTATTCAAATTGAAGCGTTTTTGTCTTAAAGAATTGTTCAACATACCGTTTTCAGAAAATTAACAAAATATGCCTAATTGAAAAAGTATGACCCCAAAACCACGGGTGTAACATTACACCGTGCCCAAAACTAATGTGATTGAAATAAATACATTGTGGAGAATTATCAAACATAATCTTCAAGAACGCCGTATCAACAATAATTATCTCTTCAACGAATAATATAACTCCTTCAAATTCCCTTTTTGAATTTAAAATTCTCATTTAGCTATTGAAAATTTAATCCTAGTGTTGGGGCTGACTGCATGAGATGGCTTCGAAAAGAGCTAGCAAGTGAGCCCTTTCACATACAGTAGCCGCTCAAAAAACAGCAACCACCTAAAGGAAAATGGACATTTTGTATTTTCCTTGTTCCAATCTACTCTCAAAAAATCTTAAACAAATTTTAGCAGAAATTTGGTAATCAATATTCTATGTGATTATATGAATGTTCTTCTATTACCCTTCATAACTCGCTCGATTTTCGCAACTCAAGTGGTTGTATTTTTCAAAGTATATTGCAGATTATAACTGTAAGAAATCTAATGGGAATTTTTTATAGTACTCTACCCTAGGCAACTTTGTTATTAAACAAAACTCACAGCGGACCAACCGCCGATTATGCGGCGCCCACGCATGTGCTCTGTAAATGTTAGTATCTTCAGAGGATGTCACTTATGGAATTTGCTGAATTCAGTAGCATGTACTAATTGAAAGGGGAAACTTCGTACATTGAAAAATATTAAATTATACCACTTTGATTACAAAATGTTATCACACCCTATGTTGAAAGTATTTGAATGATTGCCAAATATCCGTAGGAATGTTACAGTTGAAAAAACTGGTTTTGCAGTTAACCAATTCACTAGTGTTTGAAACGAAAAAAATATGGTACATGAATACAAAATAGTTATTCAGATGAGTGCAGTTGTAGATTTGAAGACTGACCACGTGCACAGGCTTTCATTGTTCTCGATCCACCTGGAGAGGGATAGAGGGCGTCGGCTTGGCAAAGCACTGCGTGGCAAACTAGACGTCTAGGAAACGAGGAAAGCGACTTGTTGCCACAGTGAGTGTTGTTGCGAATGCATTGCAATCGCATTAGCGACACGTGATACTAATGACTGTTCATGTCGGTTGTCTCCGGCCCGCTTCTCAGCAGAACACATCAACGTTCGCGAGAGTACGACCATGGTTGCGGTGTTGGAAAGATGGGTGCGGGTAGTGACGCGGCACAACCTGCATAGGGACGCAAGAGTAGTTGAGTGGCCACGAGTTACCTCGCGGGGTCACGCCCACAAGCAGACGCACGCACGCGGTGAATAAGCGGTTGCGTGAAGCGAAATTATATGTCAGGGGAACGAGAAGAGGTTTTCAAAAAAGGGTTCGAGTTTTGATTTTGGTAGCGAGATACAAGCGTGCGCATTGCCAGCAGACACTGCCGCTGAAGCAAGCCGCCTAAAATATCTCGGCTTCGCTCCGCCAGTAGACGCGCGCCAGCCAGCGTCACTGTTTCATCGGGGTCTGCCTCGCTACGAGTGAAGTTGACGGCCGTCGCATTTCTTGCAGGTTAAGAACGACTCGTTTCCGACTTAGGGATGCAAAAACGACCACCGTCTTCTTACACCGCAAGTTCGGCGCAAGCTTTCGGCCACCAGCTTCAATAGGCCGCTCTTCTACTGGACCGCTTCTGTTCCGCGTGCTTTGACGTCTCCTGCACATTTTTCTGGGCGTCTTGCCGTACTTGTGGGCGTTTGGCCACTTGAATATGTCAAACGTCACAATGTAAGAACCACTGAATCATAACGGGAAGCTGAACCTTGTTGCCGATTTGTCCTTCTGCGGAAAATTAGTTACCTTAAATTTTGTAAATGAGTTGTTACCGGGAAGAAAAATAATATGAAAACAAAATACCTTTCGATAGTTTTATTTTGCTCCACCCGAAAACGTCAATCTCAAGTGAACTACAAGTTAGTGTGTATCTCTACTGGTAAGACAACAAAACTTTCCGTGAAGTATTTTTAAACTACCCCAAACGGTGAAGCCTAAATCAGTTTACCTCCAAAGTACACATACACACAGTTTATGATTTGGCGCAGAAGAAAACAGATGAGACATTTTTGTTGGATGTTCCATCCAAAGCAAACATTTCTTTACCTGAGTTTAAAAATGCAAATATTATTCGACGTGTTCCAAAAACGTTAACATTCGCTCATAGTAGCCAATAATATTTTCAATTTTTTCCCCCGTCTGGTTTGGGATATCTGTACGTAGTCACATAGGTGCCAACAAATACAAGTTAACTCATGTTAAAAGAATTTGTGAAACTGCTGTAGTTTCCGTCCTCAATACATTTTCTTCACTTTTTACTTTGAATTACCCGTGTGGTTTACAGTGCCACCACATCACTTGCCCTGTTTAGATCGATCGACATCTCGATATGGTAAAACGTCTTCATAACGAAGTATGATTGCATCATTTGACGATCGGTCGTCATCTTGATCTCGGATTTTCGATAAGTTTTACGGGAAGTAGTAATGAAGTTTGGTGGCATTATAGTAGGATTGATCGAAATACATTTTATTGTGCCCGACCAAATAAGCAAGCTTGTGAAATAATTAAAGTTTTCGTTAGTTTTGGAATAGGAAACGAGTAATCAGCATTGGTTATAACGACTGATCTTTGGCAAGTACATGCGTGCTGTACGATATTCTCTCTCTAGGATCTCGAAGAAAGTCTAGGAATTAATTGGGTGCTGTGTGTCGGTGTGGCATCTCTCTCGTTCGGATAGACTTCCTCAAAAAGTTTGGGAGTGGATACCAAATCGAAGAAGATACAGGGGAAGATCGAGACGAACATGGAACATAGCAATAACTGAAGCCATGGAAAAAAGAGAAATTGAAGAAAACGATGTATGGGATAAAGAGGCATGGACATTGGGATGCGGAAAACGGCCAAGGCTGTCTAAAACCGCTAAAGAGATAGATCAAAAAAATATACTTTGGTTGGCTGTAGATAGCACCTGGCAAGAGTAATAGCTAGCTGAGACCAAAATATATAGAAAACTAATAATAATAATAATAATAATAATAATAATAATAATAATAATAATAATAATAATAATAATAATAATAATAATGATGTCTTTATTAATGGCGAGGCTCAGGCCATAGAGCCTGCTCTTCCGCCTAACCATTGAATTTACATACATTTAGAGTAGTAACATTTTAACAGGGGAGGACAAGCTGCACATTTACAAAAACTAATGAAGGAAAGCCTGTACCATTCTGTAGCTCTACTAGTTACATTCTACAGATAACCAAAATTATCGATGAAGATTGTCGGTAAGACAGAAAACTCCTTCAGCCATTGTAATCAGACCTCGGACACCGCGCGCAAAGCAGCAAAACGTGATCCCTAGCTGTCAGTCCCAAAGAAAGATCTCAAAAGTATAAATAATGTCTAAAAGTTTCATAATTAACTCCTAAAATAATCGGTTAGTTGGTTATGAACATATCACTTACGAATCAGAAGTATAAATATATTACCATAGAGTGAGGAACTGCCAAGTATGCTCCATCCTTGGCACAAGTCTCGTTAGCGTTGTGCCAGGTGTCAGCACTCTCACAGCCCACGAATTTGTACACCGGTCGGGGCAGAATGGCGAAGTCCGAGGTAGGCGAAAGCCTCGTGGCGGTGGAAGTGGGCGACGTCATTCTCCACGGCGGGCAGAACAGAAGCTGCAGCGACGTGGCGTTGATTTCACAAATGCAATTGCAGACAAGTAGCACCTCTCCATGGTCAACAGGGCTAGGTGCTTCATCACTAGCATCAACAGTTGATTGAATCAACAAGATCGCCATCGTCAGCAAAATCCTACATTCACAGAAATAGAAATATAATCATTACATCTGCACGCCGTACAGGGGTGAATGGTCTATTGTCATTCGATTCACATATTGACTCATTTCGTAAGCATTTTAATATTCAACATTTTGTCTCTCGTCACTAAATCACATAAAGCATAACAAGAAGCCGAATAAACTTATAAACAGTTTGAAAATACACAGGCCCATTGTTAGTGTGTGCACTCCAGAACATTTTCAAAGGATCCCCGTAGCCTGATGTAATTAAACATTTTATTTTATTAAATGAGCTAAATCTCCGATAAAAGGACGTGTATTGCCTGAAGATAAATTTTAAAATTCATAGAAATTATGAAGGAGTGGATTCTGTCGGTATATCATGATCAGGGGGCGGATTTTAATTTTTGAATGAAATGTATTTTTTTTCTTTTCACTTTAGGACAATGCCGTTTAGTATAGAAATTCATTTTGTGTTAAGACAAAACGAAATGACCCATATTTATGTCATTTGTTTGCATTCTTCGTGGATTCCATGGTGTTAATACGGTGATTCTTCGTGGTGTTAATTTTGTAGTCATATGTGCATAAGTATGAATAATTTTTATGTAAATAAAATATTTGCGTTACGTGATTTTGTAAACGATTAGCATTCGTTTGTTCGATAGCTTGACGTCCCAGGACCAAACTATTGTTATTACTGGACTCAGAGCACTATAAAATGTAAGAATCAGTCAATTATATCGAAAAAACTGACGACAAATAAATTGTTTGCAGATCTTATTAACCCTGTTATTGTAACCGTGTTATTATTAACCCTCTTTTCCAATTATACTTCCTTTATTCACGGTATTCCTTATTATCCGTTTTGATTTAGTTCTAACTACTCCATTTCTCATCAACTATTACGTGTAAATAAATTTATAGCCAACATTTTTCACTGTAGAGAACATACAATTATTACACAAATTATTTACTTTATTATACAAATTACGTGAAATTGATACTTCTAATTACTTATGTATTAGAAATTATTGAAAAATGTTTTTACGATCGCCATTTTTCTGTAAAAATATTAATTTTTACAGCATAAAGGCGATTGAAGACCGCGATTCTTTCTCTTCTACTATTTAATATTTTTATGACTGATATTCCCCCTTTATCTTTTGTTACTTTGGCCCTTTATGCAGATGATACTGCTTTATTCTTCTCCCATTCAAATATCAAAAATTGCATGTAACATCATTCAGAATTCAATTCAAAAATACATTTATTGGATTTAGAGTTTATTGGATTATTAGTTTTTAGAGAATACACATTAATCAACACAAAACGCAAACATTTTTACTCTATGTCGCCCTTCAAAACCTCCCCCTCTTCTCATTTACAACAATATCATCCCTTGGCTTGAAAATAATAGCCCTATTTAGACGTTTATTTAGACCAAAGACATACATGGAAATCTCACATTCAAATTACAATTGACAAAACATTGAATTTATCAAATGTATATCCTTCAATAAAAAAAACTCCAAATTACGAACTAATTGTGGAATCTTATCATATAAAACTATCAGTAGACCTTCTCTTCTATATGCTTCCCATGTGTGTGTAATGCCTCAAATAACTATCTTAACAAATTTCAAACAATTGAAAATAAATTCCTGTGCAAAATTATACATGGTTTATCAAGTAAACTAATCCACAGACAAATTAAAATTGATTCTCTCAAATTTTTTACGTTCAACTTCACAAAAAATGTCAATAACAAATTATCAACTTCACTCATTTTTCAAAATCTTACTCTAGATCAAAACTATGTTCCTCATCCTCGAATCAGATCACATTTTCTAAAAGAGATTTTTTCTTCCTCCGTGAATTAAAACTTGCTTTATTTCTATTTTCGGTTTCCATAATTATTTTTCACTTATGTAATTAAAGTTAGTGATAGCACTTTTATTAAATTATCGGTAACTATCAATCAAATGCTGCAATCTTGCCTCTACGTTATATAGCATTATATTCCACTCCTTGAAAAATTGTAATTCAATTGAAGAGGTACCAAATAAAAAAATTTAAAAGCATCATTTTTAGTCCTCATCGGTTCAAAAATGTACGAATTATTGAAAATCCATCATTAAGGAAACTTTGAACCATTTTTTTTTATCTTTATATTAAGCAATCAAATACATTGATAATGTACTACATTTTGACAACAAAATATTACATTTGTGTAATATTTAAAAATTAACAGAATGCCTTAAAATAGTCTTTGGTTGTGTTTTTCAATGCATTTAATATTACTCATACATTTTTTTAAATTGTACCCTTATTAAGAAAACCTTTTTTTACTACAAATTGCCCATATCTCACTCCAAATTACGCAAAAGTATTGATACTTTTAAAAACATGTGCATGACATCAATTAAAGAATTAATTTTGGAGAACAGATCTCATTGAAGAAATAATATATATCTTTAAAAACGTAGTTGTACCAGGAGGCCCAAAAAACTTCCAACATTTGCAATTTTCGCAAATTTACAGTTAACAATGAATATTGGACCTCCGTATACGTACCTACCTATTGACCTAATCATTTGTAAGTGAATTTCACTCAATTTTTACAAGAAATTTAATTTAAAAAATTGGAGCGATTTTTTAAAAAAATTGAAAATGACCTTCAGGTTTGAAATTGAAATATCCGTTTCAAATTCAAGGGGCTCTGACGCCAGCAAGATCGATCAGGAAATATTAATTTTAGTAAAATCCTAGGTATTATTTAGCTTCTGAAGTTGTTCACAACATTGATTCTGCCTACAAAACCTGTTAGAGGATGTAATTTTATTAATAGGTGAGCAAAAATTAACTATTTTTCTGACATCAGGGACTTCGGGAAAAATCGCTGTTTTTCTCTTTACATAACGTTTCTAAACTACGTATGTAGTATAGAGAAAATGGAAAAATACAATTGTTAGGTTGTTTAAAATAAAAGCAAATGATTACAATACTAGTAAACTTTATTGTCCTCTTACAAAATAACTCAGAGCAATTTTTAATTTTAAAATTATCATTTGAGTTCAAAATATAATTGACACATATAAACTTACATTTAGTTGAATTTATCAGTGTGAAGAGCAACAAAGTTATAAACTAGGATTGGAAAAAAATGTTTTTATTTATATGCAGGGGTGAAACAACTGCGGTATTAACAAAAATTGCACATTCAACCTTAGCAGGTTAATAGAGGTTAAGAGTTTAAGAATGTTATATCAATATCAATAATCAGAAAGTTATTGTTTCACTCAATACAATGTATAATTGTTTTTATTTAAGTTCCCGCTTGCATGCATATGCAAGTTGTTCTTCACAATTTTCGGCTTCAATGCCTCCCTCTCGGCTGAAAGAAAGACAGCGATGATTGCCATGTACCTCGCGATCTTCTTGATCCTCCCATAATTTGTTGAGATAATCGGGCATAGGCTCACCTACGGCAAAATATAAGAATACATAGAGTATTTACAGAATAGAAAAAAAGGACATTGATGAAATACGAATTAGTGGTGCTGCCAAAGCACATACTTTCTCGCAATGTTTCTAAACGCTCCACAAAATTATATTGATTTGAATAATATATTTAACAATTGGTTTGATGTGACGTACGTTTTATAAATAGCACAAGAGTTGTTGTAAACTTATTTAAAATTTCAAAATACGAATATGACATACTACAAACACATCCAGTTTATGTATAATCTTAATAGATTGGATATGTGAGTAGAATTGCTTCAAATGATTATCAATAAAGTTTCGAAAACTCTCAATTGTTTTCTGCGGCAAAAGAATTCTGACAAATAATGACCCCTGAGCCAGGTTCGAAGCAGCGGCCCTTCCCAACCAAAACGATGAATTCGGAACCGACATTTAACCACTTACGTCACCCGGGCAATACAGGAAATTAACACTTCTACAATAGTCATGAGCGCCTATACAACTAGTGATTTGAAGGTTCATACGTTTTATAAATCCAATAAGAGATGTAAGGATTCTGGCTACCTCAAGTGTTAGAGTATTTTTTTTTAATTTAGCAATAGGATTTAGCCATATTTTTGCTACCAGAGCCCGCAGAAAAATAAGAGTTTTTCTGCTGAAAATTCGCCGTTTTTTCAACAAACACTGGATTCTGGCTACACCATGAGTTATAATATTATTTCTAAATCTAGCAACAGGATTTATCCACATTTTCGTTACCAGAACCCGGCAGAATAAGGATTTTTTGGCAAAATTTTGGCGTTTTCTGGCGCACGATTGCATAACTTTCTCTTGCGGAGAATTCGTAAGGCGAGAGAGTAAAAAAGGCGGCAAAGATTACTAATGTATTCTACTGTATATTCTTAATTCTTCTAAAAAATGAGACCCTTACTGCAAAAGCTTCAAATTTATATTTTCGTGAACAGAGTAATGAAAAGAAATATTGGAATGTTTCAAAAATTGATGGCGAGTTTTTTTATAAAGAAAGACGCCACAATTTTATGTCCCTGTTACAAAAAAGGAGATTAAATTCAAAAGCCCTTCCGTCCGTCAGTGAACAGCACTTAATCCTAAACAAATTCCTGTCATCATCAAATCATTGTTCTCACTTCATTACTCCTTGACTTTAAAACGAATCCAATAATTTTTTTAGCACCCTTTACTTGAAACCCCAGAACAAATCCCATTATCGTTTATGATCCAAATTGTTTCTTATTTTTTAATATAATAGAGCAAATAATACTTGATGACTTCATGACTTCTAATCCGCAGCGCCGAAAAAGAAATCGATGTATCATTTATTAATCAATTACATTTTCATTCACATCCAGTTCGCTTATATGTAGTGTAATGGGACGGCCGCGTATCCGGTATTCGCCACAAATTTTAAAATTATTCATTCTCTACGTTGTAGTTCGCGCAAGCAAAGGAGCTGGAAATGTTCAAAGGCGCCTGCCCCAGTGCAGCAATTCGCTGAGGAATCCCGTCGTGAGGGAAGGTCCCCCTCTTCCAGAGGAAGAGTGCGCCTGGCCGCGCGCGGCGAGACGCGGAGATTCGCGCCGCAAGCACGCGGGCCGCGCCACCACCCGTCATACGATCTCTCATGCATCGGATGAAGCACGCACCACGGGACCCCCTGTGGCGGTGAGGATTTTCGGTGAAATTCGCGTCGAGCCAGAGATCTCAACGGCCGTGTTCTCGGAGTAGCTCCGAGACAGTCGCCCGGGTACGAGGTGTATAGTTTCGGCGTGGCGGAGAGCAGGCCTGATGGCCGTTCGGTGGTTCGACTAATGAGCGGGCGGGTGAGAGAAGTCGCCGCCTCTGCCGCAGAGGGCGACACGTGCTAGAGAGACCGCGTCGCCACCCCGCGTGCAATGGCTTTTCGCGGCACCGCTACGACGCCGGCAACAACTGTACTCGGAGGGAGCCCACGTGAAACAATCAACGAGACACGAATAGACACAGGATAACACGGGCACAGTGGGGCACTGAGCGGGACTGTAGGCCCTTTCCACGTTGCTACTGTAGCGCGCTTCTGAAAACGCGGCTGGCAGCAAAGCATTGGTTTAAAGGGAGGTCTTCTCACGTTGGATTCGCGCTGCTCTGGCGTTCGGTGGCGGACTCCCGCCACTAGCAGCATGGAAGCGCGTACTCGTCACCGTCAGCAGAACGCAGCTTTAATGTTAGTCTTCCCACTAGGACACAGGTCGAGCCGCTGTGTCATATTTAACATGCCTTCTTTAATATGTTAATCGAAAGATGAGCGATTTTTCTATGTTCTGGTGGAGGTTGAATCGATTTTAACGTTTAGTTCTTGCGTAACGACACCGTAAAATTTGCTGTTTTAACATGGGCTCGAATGGTGACCTTACAGATCGGACCTGAAATTTTAAAAGTGTGAGAAAATTAACTGTTGAACATGTTTTTGGAATTGTGTTTTCATAATTTCCTGTTTCCCAGTAACCTGAAGAAGCGTCAAAATATTGGGCCACGAAATGTTGTAACAGTTTTTAAAAGTTTTGTCAAGAATATACGTGTTATTTATTATCAAATTAAAGTGTTTCCTCTATGTAGTCTTAAACATACCTCCTCCCCAGTTATCTTTGTTCCTTATTTTGTTATAACAGAACGTCCCTAAACATTCCATTCAATATTTATTACAAAAAAGTGATTGTTTATAATTAGAAGGATACTGAATGTTTGAAGAGATTTATCAAACAATCGAAGTGCGATCCAGTATTTGAATGTGGACTAATATTCAACGCTGAAAGAAAGATAAGTACGGACGCATTTTGCCAACATATGAAAATTAAAAATCATGCGAAAGACTAAATTTGTTGTTGTTAACCATTGTTTTGTCAGATCAAATAATCAATCCTTTTCTTTTAACTATTTATAAATAATTATTTAAATTCTCCGTGCACGTTTACAAACAGCTATTGTTAATATATAGATGAAATAAATGGTTGATTGTTTGATTAGGTGCTGACGCGAACACACCACCACAAAGCACGAGCGAAATACACGAGGAAGACTGCGGGTGCGCAGGAGCATAATTTATCGCTATTTAGAAAATATCGGGTAATCTAATTCAAGCTTGGGATTATAATCGTCCAGAATTTTTTTTTTTTTGACAGCGTTAGAAATTTGTTACATCGGTTTACATGAGTGTTTTTAAACTGAAATATTAATGTATTTTTTGTGCCGAGACCTATGGTCAAAAAGCTAGAAGTCTATGTTTTTTAGACAGACTTCAGTGTCTCTTTTCTGTGACGTCAGGAGTGGCGGCTTCAGAGTAAATTTTGAGGGGGGGGGCACAAAATTCTTGAATGGGAAGTGGAGGGGGTGTGGAAAGAGAACTGGAGACTATGGATAAATTTAATATTCAAAAAACCACTTTTAAAATTTCAAACACACAATAAAAATATTAAATATAACATTGTAAATACAAACATAAAATATAAATTTATAGCTAATTTTAAGACTATAGAAATAAATTTACAGAGATTTGAAAACTAACACACCACGGAACAGGTCTTGTGCACTACTGCATCCGGTTAGAAAACCGGAGGAAGGGTATTTGGAGACAAGAGTTCCAAAACCCAACAGTCCTGCCAGGACTGCTTCTGAACATCCTGCAAGGAAACATTTTGCAAACGTCACCGATCCCGGACTGCAAACGTCAGCAAACAGCCGTTATTTGCAAGTCTCATTTTGTAATTTGCACAACTCCAAAGCAATGAGCTCATGGCAATGGCTAACGTGGCCAATTTGGGTACCCTGTAATAAGACACAGCTCTGGAACGTCTCTTACCAATGAAAGGAAACACGGAACATGAAATGCCGGGCTTTTTTAATTCGGAAATCTGAGAACATCATAGCAAACAACTACTTTAACATCAAATACTATACAGAAGGAAAGGAAAGATGGGTGTGTTTAGAAGGGCAGTGCCCCTTGAACCTCCTGCCATAGCCGCCACTGGACGTCAGGGGTGCGTACAGATTCCGACTCACACAGCGTTGCCGAACAACCAAAATGGGCTATCTATTTGTTATTGCTAACGTGAAATTACGTTTTAAATTTAATTAGGAAAAAATAAGTGTGACGAAAAGGAAAAAGTAAGCATGGAGCGCAACATGTTTCATTCTTTGCCGATACCCGTGTTCAGAGTTCTAATTAGGGGCCCTCTCTTCGGGGCCTCCGGTGAGGTGCATCGGTTGCACCAACCCTTAAACCTAAGGATGAACGAAAGAAAAGGACGGGATTCGCAATTTATTATGATGATTTGTTGCTTTACAGAAGAAGACAATTATACCAAGATCACTAATATTTTGATGTAATCAATGGGATCTTGATTAAACCGATCAGCAGCTGGCTTATATTCGGCTATTGACTTCCAATCGATTCCTCAATCATCACTGACTCTTTCAAAATTTCATCGATCTCCAAGGTTCAATATAATCTAACTAATTAATTGAACCATACATAAACAAATGCGCATAATATATTAGATTTAATGCTGCTTTACGTTTGGCAATGGCAGTTAGGGGTCCCAACCGGACCATCTGCACTGCGACTCCGAGCAGGCGTTCTCTTTCTGATGGTCCCATTCCCACGCCCAGTCCTCCTCCTTTCCTCGTATTGATTTTTTAAAATTTAAATCATACTGTTTTTCTAATGTAATTTGTTCTTTACACTTACCGAGAACTGTCGAGAATCTACCGTCCGAATCATTCGCGCGAACTCCGATGAAAAGTGAACAGTCGCTTTCTGGGTGTAGAAGAAATCCAAATAGCATATACATCTCCAGCTACAAGAAGAAAACTGCTGACAAATTTCTCGAGGAAAAAGCTACAATTCAGAGCATCTTACTTTGGAACTGACAATTTTGCGTCGGGGCCATATTTCTATGGCGATGGCCATGTTCGATGAAATGAAAACATAACCAAGATGTTGACCGAAGGAATAATTCATTTCGGGCGTCTTAGTCACGAATGAAATATAAGCACTAGTTAGACAGTAAGCGACGATCAATATTTCAGATGAAGGTTTTGTCTTAAGACACGAAACTCCTTCATCCATTCAGTCGACAGCGGGCACCGCGCGGTGGACAACGCAGCATCATGTGCTCATTGGCTGTCAGTTCCAAAGAAAGATCGCCGAAGTATAATATCGGAAAGTTTCAAAGTAATCAGTTGGCTGTGAATATATCACTTACGAATCAGAAGTATAAATATATTACCAGAGAGTGAGGAACCGCCAAGTACGCTCCATCCTTTGCACAAGTCTCGTTCGCGATGTGCCACTTATCAGCGCTCTCACACCCGACGAATTTGTAGAGCGCTCTGGGCAGAGGGACGAAGTCCGTCGCAGGCGCAAGCGTTGTGGGGGCGCGGGAGGACGGCGCCGTAGGGGATGGCGGGCAGGAACCGAGCAGCAGAGTGGAGGAGTTGACGTGGCAGCGAAAGGTGCATGCAGGACAGTCAGGGCATGCAGGACAATCTGGACATCTGTCTTCAAGATCATCCAATTGACCGGTTGATAGAACACACAGCATCGATATCATCAGAAAGGCCCTGCATTCACAAAAATATATATCAGCATGAAAGGGATATTGTGATTCGATTCACTGAATGATCAAGTACATATGGGCTTACTTTGCATGTATTTTATTAAATACTTATGGATTGCCCTTACAAAAGCTGATAAACTTAATAACATTTTACAAATATGCGGAGTCCATGCGGGTTTGGGCAAAGGGGCCAAGGTCTCCCTCAATGACATCAAAACATCTCCTTAGCCTTACGGAATTAAACATTTTATTTTTGTAAATGTATTAAATCCCGATGAAAGAACAGTAGTTAAATAAAACAATTAAGTGGTGGGAAAAGGAATGGATTCAGGCTACACCACATGTTGGAGAATTTTGTTTTAAATTAAGGGTTTATCTCTTTTTTTTCTTTACCAGGGCCCTATAATAACTTTCCTGCCGGAAATTCGCTGTCTTTCCATGCAGCATTACATAACGTTCTCTATACTGCGTAATCGGTATCCAGAAAGTAATACAACCTTTAAGCCAAAAAAGGTATAGAAATTAAATTTTAAACAATAATTTTATGTAAAAGAGGTTGTTATTTATATACGAAGGTTAAATTTTAAAATATTTCAATGAAATTAATCAAAGACCGTCTTTCTGTGTAAAGTAATAAGTAATGGAATAAAATAAAATAAGTCATAACAAAAATCGTTTAATATACTTGGTTGTACTGTGAATGTCTTCCTCAAAAATCAATCCTTCCCAGAATTTACAAATATGTTTATGCTTTCATTATAAACGAACTTTTCTGATGCAATAAATCGTTCATAAAAAGGCAAATTATGACACAAATAAAGATGTATTAGTATTTTACGGCATGATTGCGGCATCACACATTCAGTCAATCGCAGCGAGAGAATCGTGGGCTGGTAACGGTAAACGGATCAGCCGACTACCGATTTCTCGCACAGACGTCAAACAGCAGAGGCGTCACAAAAAAGTTGTTTCGCAAAATAAAGTTTGGTGCTCTTAAATACGTATAATGCTTATACAAAAAAATTGTTTATGTAGCTCATTTATGTTGCCTTATTGCATAAACTAATATTACTGATCACTTTAGAAACATGTAAATTGTTTATTACTTATAAAAGAAATTAATGCATTTGTTCAAAAAGAAAAATTAACACAGAGATAAATAAGGCCCACAATTCAATTGTATTTTTTTTAATTTCTGGGATATTTTTTGTTTCTGAACAAATATTAATTTCATTTCATTTCATTTTCTTTTTATTGGCATTGCAAGTTATGTAGACGGCAAGTTATATAGTTGGCGACGTTAATTAACCTTAAAACTAACTTAATTCTAAAACTAACTAGTTCAGGGTAAGGGAGCTCTTGAAGCGCGTTACTTATTTTCCAACTCGATCTATATTTTCAAAAAAGCTTGAATTGGGAACCTGTTTTTAATTCTTGTACGTGAATCTGGGATTTGAACGAGGTTGAAACAGGATAGGTGGTCGCTTTGGTTGATGTATGAGTGGAATTTGCTGATTGCTTTGGTATATTTATTTCCTTGTGCAACTGTAGATTTGAAACGAACCGTGGGGCTTGAGTAACTGATCTGAGGTATTTATTTTGAACGATTTGAATTTTGTTTAAATTGTTTCTTGAGCCGTTTAACCATATGGGACGTGCATATGTCATAAATAGGTCTGTATAGAGCTATTGCATTGTTTAAATAGATTTTACTGTTGTAATTAATGAGTGGATTTGGTCGGACGATTTTTATATTTGCGTTTTTGAATTTAAATATTCTTTCCCTTGTCGCTGCAAGATTATCCGAATACATCAAGATTAAGTCCTAGATATTTGGTGTTTTGATAGAGTATAGCCCAAGGAATTAGTTGAGTTTCCATTTTATGGACCATTCATCTATGTTGTCTCTTATGTTACATGAATGACTGGACCGGTTTATATGTACCGTCAGCAAATTGCCCGATGTTGGTGTTGGATGCAACTGGGATGTCAGCGGCGTAGAGATTAAAGAGTATGTGAGATAACGGAGATCCTTAGGAGAAGCCTGCTTGTATATATCTGGAGTTTGATGTGTGATTGTGAATGGTAACCGCAAAGGTCTGTCTGATAGAAAACTAGTTATTGGCTTGAGGAAATATACCGGGGTGACTATAGATTTTAATTTGTGAATTAGGCCGATGTGCCAGACTGTCGAAGCCCTGGGTTAGATCTAGACAAGTGACGATTGTATGATGCTTTTTCAGGAAAGCTTCCTGGAAGAATTCATTGACCCTTAGTAATTGGTGGGAGGTTGAAATGGGGTTGATGAATCCAAATTGATGGTGGGGGATAACCTTAGTGTTCTTTGCGTTTTAGTCTTTTAAGAATAATTCTAGTAATTTATCCAATGTTGGTAGGAGACTTATCGGTCTGTAGCTTTCTGTATGTTATTGAGATCTTTGTTGGGTTTGGGTATCGGAATAATAATAGAGAACTTCCAGTTCAGTGGATAGTAGCCTAATCTGAAAATTGAATTGTATATGTTGTTTCTGAAAGATTTAGTGTCTGGTGGAAAATTTTTGAGGATTTTAGAGATTTTGTCGTGCCCTGGGCCTTTTTATAGGGTAGGGACTTGATTTCTTCAGGGGTGGAAAATTTTATTCTGTTTGTAACATTACAATTTGGGGCGAGGGCTGATTGTTTTATGGAGTTGTGGTCGAGGTGATTAAGCGTTGAATGCGGTGAGAACGATTGATCTGCTAATTTTCGGCTTTTTTCTAATGGGACGTAGCGTTTGCCTGTAGGCGTGATTAATGGCGGTATTATCGATCGTTTTCTTTTTTGCAGAATTCGTTTGGTAAATTGCCAGTGTATTATTATGGGTGTTAACAATTTGATCGTTTGATCATGAGAAGGGTGATAATAATTCTTAATAGCTGTTTTGTAATATAAATGAGTGTATATAATTCAATTTTTTAATTTCGAAACTTTTGTTTTTCATCCATTGTCTTGTGGTTATATTGTTTGTTTTAATTATGTTGAATGGATTTCGGTAGATCGTTTTGAGGTTTTATTATAGAGTTAATGTGTTTGATATTTCATTGTTTAGTGTGATTATCAATTGTTCTATTTCTATTATATTATTTACAATTTTGAATTTTGGTGAATCGATTAGCTAGTATAGTGTTGAACGTTTTCGAGTTGACTCGTTTTGTATTTAATGTGAGGGTGAGTGAGAAGTGGGGAGTTGCTATGTCAAGATTATTACGGAGAGATGATCCGAGTTCCCATAGCGTCTTCGTAACAAAATTTGAGAAATTTGAGAAATGGATAAAGCTATCTCGATGATATTCGGAAGCTTGTTTAAGTATCCGGATACAACACACAAATAGACCCTGATCAACAGGTGGAGGCGTACTACTCCTAATACATAATTATAACCCATACAAGAAAACTAATTACCTACTACTCTAGGTCATGAGTGCACAACGATAAACCTACCACTAACTAATCAAATTCACACTTCAACATTTCTATATAAGCCATCTACAAAAAAGCTTCACACAACAAATTTAAGGCATTATATAACCAATCAGTCTTCATTGTAATATTAGGGGACTAGAACACCAAAAACACAACCTGAGGATTTCGAATCCCGCGAGTATGTATTTACAAAAAAACATCTCAATTTTAATTTGCAAATACTCATAATAGCATTAGTCGAAACAACTCTCACCCCGAAAGACATTAAAGCTGTCTTTAGCATTTAGGTGAGTTTCAGTAATTGTGGCTATTTTTACATTGTTGGCTGTTAAGAAATAGGATAATTCGGCTATCTTGTTTAAAATTCCATTGGCGTTCCAATTCATGAGGACTCAGTTGATGTTGAGTTTATGCATTACCAAAGTTACTGATATTGCATGCTGACGAAATGGAATTTTGAGTATTGCTGATTAAAGAAGGGGTGATTGAATTTAGTAAGTTAATAATAAAGCTAGAGATGGAATTTAAAATTGAATTGATGAAAGAGGAGTTGTGATTGTTTCAATTTATAGCGTTGGGGGTGGGGGTCTATGTGCATTTCTATTATTTACTCGAGCTGAGGTAGAGCTATTGTTGGCATTAGGAGGAGCGGGGTTGAAATGTGAATTATTTTCTGTAGGAAGAAGAAATGGAAAGTTTTGGTCTGAGAGAAGCATTATTGTTTCTGCTAGTTTTCCTTGTTCTGACCTGAATGCTTTTGGTTGCCGACTCCAATAAGTTCTTGAAGTAAGAACATTCTGGAGTACGTAAGTCCTTGCGCAGTTTACATTTTTGAGTATTCTCCTTGTTCGGACTATTGACTGAATAATGACCGACCGCACAGAAAATACAAGCTACTTCGTAATTACAACTGTTTTTGTGTACCCGAAATCAACGCAACGAAGGCATTGATCCGATCTCTTGTTTTGTTCCTTTTTTTCAGCTTTACACATAGGTTGCAGATTAGTATAGTTTGGAGAATGGTTTCTAAGTTCTGTGAGCCGTCAAATTCTGTGGCAATTGCCGGTGTTGGACAACTGTTTGTGAACAGACTGGTGACACTTCACAGGGAGCGGTATTGGGATTTGAAGTCTTCATGTAGTTCCTCTTGGGTGATGGATACGTGAACGCTCTAAAATTTCATAGAGAATTTCTTGTTCTCCGGATCTTGGTAAGAGTGAAAGTTCCTTTTTGTTTGAATTTGGTATTTAATGGCTTAAATACTAAACTCTGACAATTGAGATGAATTTCACATAAATTGGGGTAACTTTCACATTTTCCGAGGTTTCCGGGGGGTTTGGATCGATGAACGAAAACCTATTGCCTCGCTTTTCCAGATTTCCTAGAGGTTCGAATTTGTTGTCAACTGACATTGAGAATTGAACATCTGCATCTTTGGTGGTCTTTTTAAGAGATTGTTCTGTTGTATGACTATGTGCATGACCTCTTTTACTGTAGTTTCCGTTTACGAACATTATTTCACTACCGCTGGAAGACACTTTC